GTTAGGTAGAGTCAACTAAACTACCACCACATGTGTATTGAGTGTATACTATATTATTATTATTAACACACCCCCTCAAGCACACGGTTGGACGGAAACAACATTGAGCTTGTCCCGGAGAACTTGAAAACGCAGTGCTGGTAACGACTTTGTGAATATATCGGCCAGCTGATCCTTCGTAGACACAAAGTTAACGATGAAGTCTCCTGACGCTACCTTGTCACGGACAAACTGATAATCGATCTTAACATGTTTAGTCCGCGCATGAAAAACCGGGTTGGCAGCCAAGTACGTGGCTACCAGATTGTCACACCACAAAGTTGCTGGATTACCCGAATGTAGACCCAACTCTCGGAGTAACGAGACAATCCAAGTTACTTCGGCAGAGACATCAGCAAGGCCCTTATATTCTGCTTCAATCGAAGAGCGAGCCACCGTGCGTTTCTTGCGAGAAAGCCACGAGATGAGATTGGACTCTAGAAACACTGCATAACCACTGGTAAATTTCCTGTCAACCAGACAGCCAGCCCAGTCTGAATCTGAAAAAACATGGATGTCGGAAGAGGATGAAGCTGACAAGCGTAAACCATAGTCATGTGTGCCTTTGACATATCGCAAGACACGTTTTAGCAATCCCCAATGATCATCGGTGGGAGAATGCATAAACTGACACAACTAGTTTACCGCATAGGAAAGGTCCGGCTGAGTGATAGTCAGGTACTGTAGAGCCCCTACAATCCAACGATACTGTGTCGGATTGTCAAACGGATGAGGTGACGGAGTCACTGCCTATGTGACCGCAGTTGGTGTTGCGAGGGACTTGCAATCAGACATTTCTGCTCAGGTCAAAATGTCGCCCATATAGAGATGCTGAGAAAGGATAAGTCCGCCGTCGACCTTGAGAGTTTCAATGCCTAGAAAGAAGCTCGGAGCGCTAAGATCCCTAATCTTGAAGGTAGTGGACAGGCGGTATAGCAATGTATCAATCAACGCTGGATCGTTGCCCATCATAATGATGTCATCAACATATACTAGCAAAAACACCCAAGAGTTCCCGGTGGTGTAGTGGAAAAGTGACATATCAGTCTTGGATGCCAAAAAACCTGCTGAAATTAGAAACTTATGTATCCGCTTGAACCAGGCTCGTGGTGCTTGTTTGAGCCCGTATAGGGACCACTGAAGGTGACAGACATGATCTGGATGTGTTGGGTCTTCATACCCAGACGGTTATTTCATGAAGACGGTTTCAGATAGGTGCCCGTTGAGGAATGCATTGTGGACATCTAGCTGCCGTAATAACCAGTTGTTTGACACTGCAAGAGAAAACAATATGCGCACCGTATTCGGTTTGACTACGGGACTAAATGTGTCAAAGAAATCTTCGCCGGCTACTTGGTTAAACCCTTTGGCAACCAGTCGCGCTTTATAGCGCTCAATTGACCCATCAGCTTTGCGTTTGGTGCGGTAAACCCATTTGCAGCCGATGATATTCATATGCGGTTCAGCCTATATGAGCCGCCAGGTGTTGTTATGGAGTAGGGCGTTGAACTCTTGATCCATGGCATCACGCCATTGCGGGTGACCCACGGCTTAAGAGTAGCAAGTTGGGTCAACAGTTGCATTAAGAGCATAAAACTGTTCACCCGTGCCTCGGGTCTTACGTCGAGTGCACATGACGTACCCTTGTTGTTGTGGTTGACCCTAGGTAGTATACGTCTTGGTGGGTGGTGCGGCTTCCTCCAAAGCTAAGGGTGCTGGTTATTGAGCCAGCGGGAGTTCCATGGTTTCTGGCGTGGACTGCGTGTGGCCCACTACAGGTCTGGATCCCCAGGGGGTGTGGTAACCACATGACGTGTTTGGACCTGCAAAGATGATTGTGTAGAAAATGGAAAGACTGATTCATCAAATCGGACATGACGGCAGATAAAGGTCTTTCCAGTGGTTAGGTTCATGCAACGGTATCCCCTAAATGAAACCAGGAAACCAAGGAAGACACAGGGTGCCGACCAAAACTCTATCTTGTGCCGATTTTATGGCCTCAGATAGGGAAAGCAACAACACCCGAAGACTCGGAAAAATGTGTATGCGGGTGGGGATTTGTGTAGACGATAGTGTGGACTCTCAAATTGTATTGTGGATGGTGCGAGACAATTTATTAGGTGGGTGGCTGTTTCAAAGGCATAATCCCAATATTTTAGTGGGACCGAGCTTTCAGCGAGTAGTGCTAAACCGGTTTCGACAATGTGTCTATTCCGGCACTCAACTCGGCCATTTTGTTCGTGCGTATAGGCACATGATTGCCTGTGCACAATGCCTAGGGATTCAAAAACTTTATGGAGACGGCGATACTCACCCCCTAAATCTAACTGTATGGCTTTGATAGAACGCGAAAATCGGCGTTCTACCATCACCCGAAACAACTCAAAACTTTTATATATGTATGATTTTAGCCGTAAGGGATAAAACCAGCAAAATCTAGAATAATCGTCTACAAATAGAATAAAGTAATGAAAACCAGAAACAGAAATAACTGGGAACGGACCCCAAATGTTCGTGTACAATAAATCTAGAACATTTTCACTAGAAGTGGGTACTCTATCTAAAGGAAACCGTGTTGATTTTCCAAGTTGACAAGCCGCACACACTTTTGACGAACTGGTGTAATTTGGAGTGACTGGACAATTTTATAGTACACGCTGAAGAACACGGCTATGCGGGTGACCCAACCTTTGATGCCACACCACGGATGACGCCCGGGCATTTATGAACGCAAAATGTGACCGTGGGACCAACAATCTGTATAAGCCGCCCGAGGTAGGTCCTTTAAGAAGAACCGCCTTGGTGGTGCAATCCTTCACATTAAATAAATTTTTGTGAAACTCAAAATAAACATTATTGTCATTAGTGAAGCGGTGAACCGACAAAAGAGGTAACGACAATTTATGCACGTGTAATATATTTGACAAATTAAGGGATTTGGACGCGGAAGGGATAATTGCATGACCCACACGAGAAATAACCAAACCTGCGCCATTGCCGACTCTGAGCACATCCCCATCGGTGTACACATCTGACTGATTCATCATTTGCTCATCGGGTGTTGCATGCGACGATGCACCCATATCTGGATACCACGCATCCACCGACGTCGATGAAAGAACCTCGCCGGAAACCGCCACATTGGCTTGCGGCTGCGGATGGTCAGTGTATCTCTTGTACCAATGAACGGTCGTGTGACCATGGGATCTACAGATTTGGTGGCATCGGGAAGTACCGCCGCGACCACGACCCTGTCTGCCTCTGCCGCGACCCTGCTGGCCACGGCCTTGACCACTATTCGAAGACTACCGGCCGTTGGAATTTGAATCTCCTCCGTGTCGGCGACCACAACCAGCGAACAGCGCTGTGGGGGAGCCCATCGTGGCCAGACCGTCACTTGCCGGGAACTCATCAGAGTAGATGAACTCCTGAGCCTACAAAAGATCGGACAGTTGAGGGAGAGTGATCGGTGTACCTGAGGCGGTGAGGGCAGCAGCCAAGGCACGGAACTCCGGGCGAAGCCCCCGGAGAACGTACAATATCTACTTGTCTAGGGACAACGGTCGACCGGCGAGAGATAAGTCTTCAACGATCAATTGGGCACGGCCAAAGTATTCCGCATGCGAACTGTTACCTTGGCGGAGAGACTGAAATTGGCCGAGCAAGTTGAGGCAGCGGGCGCACGTGGATGAACCTAACGCCGTCGTGATGGAGAGCCAGACGTCACTGGCGGTGTTGTGGTCGACGGTGAGGTACATCACCTCGTCAGAGAGAGATGAGATGAGTAACGAGAGGATCGACTGATCCTGCTGTATCCAGGCGGTGTAGGCAAGATTCGGCGTCGTGGTGGTGACTGTCGCACCGGATGCCGTGTCGCCGGAGGTTGGAGCCGTAGTGATGGTGGCCGGAGGGCACGGCAGTTCACCATCAATGTAGCTGAGCAACCCATGTCCTCTGAGGAATGGTACAAGTTGTGTGCGCCAAAATAAAAAGTTTCTCGTTGTGAGTTTGATGGAGAAGAAATGGTGAGAAGCGGTGAGGGAGTTGGTGGTGGCTAGAGCAGGTACGACGGCAACACTCACCGTACGCTCGGAAGAATTCGTCGACATGAGGAGTGGGGAGAGAAGTTAGGAGAGAGAAGGCCTAATGCTAACTGATACCAGATGAATGTTACAGGTTAAGAATCGATTGAGTTCTCAGTTGGTTACAACAATAGAGTCCTATAGGAAGTTAACGTAATATTCTCCTATACAATAGGTTAGGTAGAGTCAACTAAACTACCACCACATGTGTATTAAGTATATACTATACGGAGTATTATTATTATTAATACAGTGGTCTAATTGCATTTTCATGTTACGTTCAGTGACTAATTTGAACCTTATTCCTTTAAAATTAATTAATCTAAGGTAAGCGGAAAACCTAATGTAAACCAATCCACCAATGCCCATTTCACGTGCTCTACAGTACATGTGATCATTAATTCTAATTTATTATCAGAGCATCCACACTAGTGGATAATATGGGGATAATGTCATAACAATTATGTTGGGTGGGGTTAATAGCAAATGTGGAGTGGAGTTATTTGAGGAGATAATTGTCCTGCAAAACACAAAATAATGTCAGAAAAAAAAAAAAAAAAAAAAAAAAAAACAATACATGCTGTGCGCGTTTGCGCACAGCTAAGTGCCACACGGGCGCGTGCACTACACGCACCCGTGTGGCGCGTCAGGCGCGCTGACAGCGCTGTCAGCGCGCCTGACAAAGCTTTATTTATTTATTTATTTTTTTTTTTTTTAAATCAATTTTCTATTATTTTTTTTTTCTTTTTTTCTCTCCCCTCCCACATTCTCTTTCCTAATCACTCTTACATTATCCCCTCATTCTTCCCAATTGATGTGGATGCTCTCATAAGAGTCTAAGACATCTTCCTTGTACTTATAATTATTGTATGATGGGGGACAAAAGTAAAGGCAAACAAAGAAAACAATGATACCTCATTAGTCATTACCTCGTAGATCTAAATCTTCAATACGTTACTTATGTATGTTGGTCGGAAGCCATTAATGGCGCTCACCAAACTCTGCTAGTAGAGGAAAATTGAGTGTGAAAAAAAAAAAAAAAAAGGGTTTCAGTATGGGCGTAAACATGATACTCTTGATGGCTATGGTGGCCACCAATATCCTCTCCCTCTATCACCTCACCACCCACGTCCATTCCACTCCCCCTCCCCCTCCCCCTCTCCCTCATCAGCTCATCCAACACCTTCACACCATACGCGCCGCCATCAACCGCCTCGCGCGTCTCAACCCGCCGTCGTCTCCCACCGCCGCCCCCTCTGACCTCCTCTTATACGCCCACATCTTCCCCGTTGCCTCCTCTTGCAAAGACCACCCGGAGTTACTGCATAAGTACATGAATTACACTCCCTTTGCTCTCTGCCCACCGGATTCCTCCCTCGCTGAGTCTCTGATCCTCCGCGGCTGCCACCCTCTCCCGCGGCGGCGCTGCTTCTCCCGGACCACCCCCGCCGCCCCAACCTCCCTCCCCACCAATCCCTTTTCCCCCATCCCAAAAAACGCAGTTATTTGGGGGCATTATAACTGTACTACTTTCAATTGCTTCATTGGGTTTGACATGAAGCTTGAGAAATCAAGATTCTTGGCCTCAAAATCGGATCTTGATCTATCAATCCCTCAAATTCTGCAGATTGGGAAATCCGGCAAGAGTGTGATTAGATTAGCAGTGGACATAGGGGGTGGGACTGGCACCTTCGCGGCCCAAATGAAACTGCAAAATGTGACAGTCCTAACCACCACCATGAACCTCGGGGCGCCGCATAATGAGGCGGCGGCGCTGAGAGGGGTGGTGCCTCTCCACCTGCCATTGCAGCAGAGGCTGCCGGTGTTTGATGGGGTGGTTGATCTTGTGAGGTGTGGGCATGGTGTGAACAGGTGGGTCCCAGTGATGGTGATGGAGTTCTTGTTGTTTGACATGGATAGAGTGTTGAGGGGTGGTGGGTACTTGTGGTTGGACCATTTCTTCAGCAAGAGAGGTGATCTTGAGAGGGTGTATCAGCCTATGATTTCTAAATTGGGGTACAAGAAGGTGAAGTGGGTTGTGGCAAACAAGAATGATTCCAGTGGGGTGAAGAATGGGGAGGTCTACCTCACTGCTCTTCTGCAGAAGCCAATTTCAAGATGAAAATTTCACTTCATGGTATTCAGCTAATCTTATTCTTTGCTCCTTAGTAATGGTGGTTGAGTTGTCACTTAGTAGCAATTTAATGTCAATCTAATTCAACCTTTGTTTCATCCAGTGTTGCAAAAATCTTGCCTAGGCACCGATTAATCGGCGCCTAGACGCTAGGTGCTAGCCGACCACCTAGCGTATCACCATAATCGATGATCTAGGCGGCCGATTAGGCTTCCTAGGTGCGGATCAGGATGCCTAGACACCGACTAGGTACCCTAGTTGGCCGGTCAGTTATTATTCCTTTCTTTTTAAAATGAGTTATTTCATTCAAAACGTTACGTTTTGAGCGAAATAATCCTAAATTATTTAAACTCTAGTTTTTTTTATGTTAATATTTAGTATTTTAGGTATTAACTATTAAATAGTTTATAATTATGTCTTAAAAAATTTAAACAAATTTTCAAAAAATAAAAAATACACGGGCGCCTAGGAGCTGCCGCCTAACGATTTTTTCAACCATGGCTCCATCTTAACTAAAAAGTCTAAACGGGTATTTGGCATAGGTTGGTTTTGATACCAAATTGAACTATGTGTCCCATTTCAACCAAAAGTCTAAAATGATAGTTAGCTCTGATATTAAATTGAAGCATTCCTTCAATCTCAACTAACAGGGCATTTGGTTGGAGGGGGGGAATTATGTGGGAAAGGAATTGTAATTCCATGGGAGTTGAATTACTGGGAATAAAGTGGGAATTTAAATTCCAGTGTTTGGTTGATAGGAATAGAATTACTGGGAATTTCAATTCCAATGTTTGGTATACATGAGAATTGAAAGGGAATAAGTAGTATAAAGTCAAAAATGTCCATTATTGTTGTTAGACATTAATTTTCGGTTAAAAAAGGAAGGGGTAATTTTTACTCATCACTATTTTTTTTTCCCAGGAATTAAAATACCAGGGGGGACATGGGATTTTAATTCCATGAAAATGGGAGAATTGCAATTCCATGGAATTGCAATTCCCTCCAACCAAACTATGTAATTTAATGGCCTTTGGAATTAGATGGGAATTAAGTGGGAAGGGAATTTAAAATCCCTCCAACCAAACACCCTGTAAAAGTCTAAACTAATATTTGGATTGCACGTTTAGTTTACATGTTTATATATGGTCAATAAATCTAAGTATGCATCAATATATTCAAACTCAATCAACCTGCAAATATTCATTCTTTGTATAAACAATAAACGCATAAAGCAGCAAGAAAATGTCACAAATCTGTTGTACGTGTTGAAACTCCTACTATTGGCATTGGTACATCCATGTTGGTAAAATCCAATTAAGAAATCAGCCCTAATGCCCTGATACTATAATCCCATCTATATTGTAATGATAAATAGATAGTAAATGACAATGATCATGGACGGATGAGCCTATTTTAATTAGTGATTCTTTCTGGCAGTTTTGCAGTTGATTTTGGTGCTGATTGAGTGCCATGATGGCTATCTCATCAACAACCCTTTATCCAATCTGCAAAGCCAAGCCGTCTGGTGGTGGTGGAGTTAGGATTTGCACATTTTTTGTTGGCAGAAAGGTTTCGAGATTGGGAGATGATGGGGGAGAAAGAAGCAATTATACCTAGATCTCTCTGGGGTTCGCTCTCTTTTGAGGAAGTCGGTATGAGTTTGAATACGACATCTTCCATTCCTGTCAAATATATGTTAAAAAAACAAAAACTCAGTGGTAGTGGAAGGTTTTATAGAGTGATGCAAGTAAAACATAGAGTAGTTGAGAAGAAAATTTTGATTTCCTAAATAGTGTTCATATGCAGATAACGTGGTGTTAATATAATAATATCAATCCATTGTGGTACCAAAAAGATGAGCCTACCTAAATGCATCAAGGGCTCTGTTACTTTGATCCCTTGAGAGATCCTTCTATGTTCAAGGTAAAGGTCTGAGTCAGTAGTAAACAAAGGGAAAGAGTTGAATTTATTATCAATACTTAAGGATAAAGTAGAAATTTACAAAAGAAAACACATATGAATGAATTAACAATTAAAGGAGTATTGACAAACAATTATCTCCACCAGTCATGTTACAATCTCATCCTTTACCATTTAATAAATTAAATAAAGAAGAAAGGAAGTATTAGTGACTGTTCCAAATCATATGAAAGCAACATGCTATCTTCACCAAAATTTCATATTGGAAAATTCTATTAGCACACACTCATGATAACAACTAATTAACTTTGTTACAATCTAGTATGAAACCTACTGAAGCTTGAACCTGTCACCTCTCATTTAGAAGAGTCATAGTTATGTCGCTCGATCAGAAAGTCTTGACAATTAGCATTGAACTTTGAAATTCAAAAAGGAAAAAAAAAAAAAAAAAAAAAAAAAGGACAAATTCCTGGGACTTTGCATATAAAATTTCATTTTGATTTACATACTAAAATTCAAAGCAATAAAACAACTGGAGAAAAATGGATGTTAAATCCATATATCCTCCCACTTTCCCCAAATATGTATAAAAGGAAAGCAAAAAAATCAAAACAATTTCTGACAGACTAAACAAACAGAGCGCGAAATCACGAATAATTTACTTACAAATACGCCGAGTTTCAGACAGAATCCAGATCGAATTGTGCTTGAAAACAACCTGCAATAAGAGGAATTAGAGGCAAAGCAAAGTGAGATCCAAAAACGTGCAAAAGCTAAGGATATGAACCGTGGAGCTGAAGAGAATGGCGTTTGAAGCCGGCAACATATACACTGGGGGTGCTTTCTCCTATGGTGACAAAAAATCAAAATGGATTTCAATTGGGACCAAATTTTGAATTGTGGCAAAAGAAGGAATAACTCCTTTCAGTTTGCCTTGTTATCTAAAAGTATTCTTTTTGTTTGCCTTGTTATTGTTTTAAAAAAATCATAGTCATTTTCCCGTGTTGATATTTGTGTTGTGATTACTAATGATTTTGTGTTGTAAATATCATAACACGTTCGATATTATGCCATGTACGAATTTGTAACATTTCAAAATAACATGTTATGTATTGATCAAAGAGGAGAAATGCCGTGATATATTATGGTCTGCCTGGAATTTGTAAAATGTTACAAATGTCAACGCTCGATATGCAATACGACCAACATATCGGTTTCATCAACTAGAGCAATGTAGATCTTTGTATACAAATTTCGGTGTACATTTTTTTGCGGTAAGAAAAGAATATATATCAATGCATCCTTCAATCAATGCCATTACTTGCTAACATCCTCTTACTAAATTCTAGCGTGAACGATTGAGTGAATTCTTCCGCGGCTCCGTCAAAGTGGATGGGCCACTGAAATTCATAGTTGGAGATAGGTACCTAGACTCTACTTCGACTACACATTAATATCCTACGACGAACAATGGGAGCAAATATATGCTCATTTTCACTTACAAGGATGTGACCGTGTTGTATGCTTCAATGTCGAGCAAAACGTCATACTCATCCTACCTATTGTTATATTGTGTAACGTTGAGAAGATTTATCTGTGGTCATTCACATATCGTACTTTTGACAATGCGTACGGCGAAATCCATCGCTTAACTAAGTTAATGAGATAATTTCGATGTATGAATAATGAATAAAAAAAATTCTTCAGCCTGTAATTTTTCATGAACCAATAATTAGTAATCAATTTTACATTATTTATTAATCATTTGTAAATCAACACAAAATCATTATTAATCACAACACAAATATCAACACGGAAAGCTGAGTTTGACGTTTTGTAAACAATAACAAGGCAAACAAAAAGGAGTTTTATGCTTTTAGATAACAAGACAAATTGAAAGGAATTATTCCTTCTTTTGCCTCAATTCAAAATCTGTTCCTAATTGGAATCCAATATGAATTTCCTTCTCCCTCGGGGGTAACGACTCTACCGATTAGGCAGACACATGCAGTAGTCAAGGGTCCGACTCTGGTCAATTACAGGGGACTTCGTTTTTGAGTTTATAATTCGAATTTAAAAACAAAAATTCTGTTGAAAAGTGTTTATATATTGAGATCAAACGAAAATCATGTGGTGAGAACCTCCAAACTATTCTATTAGTGGACATAATCATATAGTTATATATATAAGTCTAGTAGCTCACTACCAAAGGTGTAATCCAAATTTCAAATTATAATTATAAAATTATAATTATGCTAAAAAAAAAAACTATTATTTTCCTTTGTCTCTCTTTGTTTAAAAAATTGTTAACCAATGACATGCCCTTAACCTCATTTAGAGGTGAAGTTTAGGGTGAATTCACATCCAATCTCTTAAAGGCGAATTTAAAAAAGCTTACCTACATTCACTAAGGGTGCATATCTATTTTTTTTTTTTTTGAAAGGAGCCTGTGCGGCATTTATTCAAAATATGATGAAATAAAAATTGGTGGACCAGAGTCCGAATACATCACAGCTAACTGAGTAAAAGCAATAGATGCTAAGATATGAGCTAATTAGTGTTGGAAAAATTAGCTTAAAATGGCATATTAAGTGGCTATTTTGTGGTACAATTATCAGTGGGGTCCACTTCCGATTTGGGTCGGGTCAAAGTGGATTCGGATTCTTCGTAGTAAGACGAAGAGATTGATATATTGTACGCTCAAAACGGATAATGGGTGAATGAGATATGATTCTCAAAGTAGACCCATTTAAGTTGGGAAATGAAGGGAAAATGTAGGACTTTGTCCCACATTGGTTTGGAAACAAGATTTGCCCCCCTTATATACATGAGCTCTTTTCAAGCTTGTAGAATTGTATAGCATAGAGGCTCTCTCGTGCGCGGGGGGGGGGGGGGGGGGGTGCAAATCAAAATCCAACTAGAGGACATCAAAAAGGCTTGAAATCAAGCCCGAGCTCGCGTGCGCCGGCACCTGCGGGCACGAATGTCGTCCGGAAATGGGCTGGCCTTGCGGGCTAAGTTATGCCTAACTTCGGTATCATTTTCCAGTGTTCTAAGCTTTGCTTTGTTTGCCGGGTTCCTTGTTTAGGTGCTTAAACAAGGAATCGTAGCACGTTTTATCCTGGGAAACCTAGGCTACAACGCTCCTAGCACTTGTGGGAGGTAGCAAATAAGGTTTTAAGGAAAAGAACTTTGTGTTCGAACTCGTGCTAAACCTTTACCCAAACACTCAACCTTTTCCTTCCCAATTCTTTCTGTTTTCCCATATAATATTAATCTTTTCGTAGGATTATTATTTTTAGGAATTTTCAACCATATTACCCAACAATTAGATGCTAAGATATGACCTAAATAATTATCGTATCTAGAAACATAACGAAGCGAACAATAATCAAAAGTTAACATACTAGTCTTGCAACTGTCAATAGCGTAACCCAGATATGAACGTGGTGAGCCTGCCATAGACGATAAATACTGCTGTAATATTAAACAATCTGTGAAGAGCTCGATAGATCTTTCCCCACGATTCCTTAACCAGGACAAAACCTCCTTGCATGCAAAAGCTTCCGCCATTAGCGGTGAAAAACAGTCTATCATGGGCGCCGACATGGCTGAAATATATCCTCCTTGGGCGTTGAGTTGAATTGCTCCGACCGTTGCTTTGTTTGTCTGATTGGAGTACGCTGCGTCGAAGAAGCATAGATCTCGCATGGGGTGTTGAGGAGCGTGGATTGCGGCACTTGACGCGGCTGGCAGGGGATGCCGTAACATGGCAGTGGCTTGTTGCGGTTGATCAATGCGGATTGCAGCAGTGGCATTGTGCTGTTCGGACTGTCCAGTAGCATCGTCTTGGGCTCCTGCCGTGGTGGCAGTTGCGGTATGTGTCCGACCTGGATGGGCAAGCTTCCAAGCGTGTACAGCCGAGGTTACCATTGCAATTATCTTCCGAGGTGTGGGTAAATATGCATCCCATACAGCCCCATTTCTTGCACGCCATATATAATATAGAAGTGCCACTGCATAAACAATCTCATTATCATCTAAAATATTCAACAAATCATTAAACCAATCACTGAAAATATTTGTGACACTATTGGGGATTGGAAGGTGAGATTGAGCCCAAATGTTGGCCGTATAATCACATGTGATTAAAGAATGCATAGTATCCTCATGCATGATCCCACACATGGCACAAGTTGGATCAATATCAACCCTCTTTATAAGTAGGTTTTTTGTAGTGGGTAGGTAATATATCATTCAAAGTCCTCCATAAAAATGTCTTCCACTTCAGGGGGATCTTGAACTTCCATAATTTTAACCACTTATCAAAGGCTCCAACCTGGTGGGTGTGATCACCAACCACCTTCCTGTAACCAATTTTAACTAAATACTCTCCCCTTGGGTCCCCATACCAATACCACATGTCTTCATATTCTGGTGACACAGATATTTTCAATATTTGTATCACATCCACGGGTATGAAAATATCTGTGAGAATATCCTGATCCCAAGTTCCTGTCTCCTGGTCCATTAGTCCCATGACCATTGCCTGTGCCAACTGGGGTGGTTTTTCCGTTATTATTCTCGGGTTCTGTTCATCATGTAGCCATGGATGATCCCATATTAAGGTTAACTTACCATTCCCAATTCTGCGCTTAACTCCTCCACAGATTAATTCCTGTGTCGCCAGAATACTACGCCAACAAAAACTTGGGTTATTCCCCAAACATGCATCAAAGAAAGATTTATTGGGATAATATTTGGCCTTGTAAACTCTTGAAACCAAAGATTCCGGTTGTGTAAGAAAACGCCACGCTTGCTTACCCAACATGGCAAGATTAAAGGCACGCAACTCCTTAAAGCCCAAACCTCCATATTTCTTGGGGATATACACTTTATCCCACGCCTTCCAATGGATGCCCTGGTCATCTTTTGATCTCCACTAGTACCGGTTCATGGTTCGCTCAATGGCTGTACACAGAGTCATGGGTAATAAAAAGACACTAATTGAAAAGGTAGGCATAGACTGAGCCACACTTTTCAATAAGACCTCCTTCCCTGCCTGTGAATCTGTGATAATAATCTTTCGTTCCATGACCCAATCCTCTGCCTTATTTTGTCCTCAATATACGAAAATGTTGTCTTTCGATTCCTGCCCACAAATGATGGAAGCCCTAAGGGTGCAGATCTAATTTAATCTCATATACTAATAACTATTTTGGCAGATTGGGTGCAGATGGAATGGATTCGAGTATTAGTATAATTATTTTTAGTTTTTGAATTTTCTTTGCGTGACTTTTAACATGACCATTAACCAAAATTGTAAAATTATCATATTTTAATTTGGGCAAGCACCTTGTGTTCAGATGGCATGTAGTGACATCTTCCCTATGGAAGGTCATGAGATCGAGACTTAGTGGAGGTGTTGGTGACTCTTTGTGCTTCATGAGGTTTAGATCGAATCTCAGTGGATGCGATCTGATACATGGAGTTGAAAAGGTTTGATAAAGATTTTTAGATAACAAGGCAAACTGAAGGAGTTAAAACAAAGTATTCTTATTGTTTAAAAAACCTTTTCAACTTTGTGAGAGAAGGTTAGAAAAAAAATCTTTTCAATTTGGAAAAAAACAAATGATCAATACCCGAATCTTTTTTTCCCAGCCGTGCACAATTTTTACCTATTGTTATACCATGTATCAGGGTCCAAAATGTAGAAACAATACTTTGCATTGTGAATTTTAATTAAAAATGACATTCAAATTATGTGTTTACAGTTAATTAATTAATAAATTATGTACATATTACAATTAATATATTATGTATAAGCAATTAATATTTATTTATAAGTACATAATATATTAACTGCATGCGCATGATTTGATTGCCAATGTAAGATAGTTTGAAATGTCAATTTATTCGGACCTTGATGGGAATCCTCAATCCCCGCCCCAACAAGAATATTATTATTATTACTATTACTATTACTATTACTATTACTATTACTATTACAATTACTATTACTATTACAATTACAATTACTATTACTATTACTATTGCTATTGCTATTGCTATTGCTATTAAAAAGGTTGTAAATATGTTGTATTGTAGTTGGTTATTTGATGTTTTTGTAACATTGTATTTATATTCTTATTTGCATGAAAATTATTTAATTTAAATATTATATTTGACATTTTAATTTTTTATTGTTATTGAAAATTGATGAGAATTTAACTATTTTAAGATTAAAAATGTAATATTTAATTTTTAAAATTTAAATATTGTGAATTATACTAGTTTGATTATTATTTGAACAAAAAAAATATTAGTTACTTGATCGGGGATGAGGATTTCCCGTTTCCAAAAATTTTACACAAGGATGGGAGCGGGAACCATGGTGAGATTTTAGAGAAATGGATTGGGAGTATATTCCCCACCCCCGTTGTGACACCCCGAAGATCCAATTCTTAAATATAATTAATTATACAATTAATTCTAAATCTTCCTTACGAATTTTCCCTTTCAATTTCTTAATTGTAAAGTTGGAGGACTTAAATTGACCAATTCCTTGGTCAATTGGTGTAGTTAATAAAAATGACCTTGAGCTCTATAGGTTGTACCTAACCTTTTGAGGTCTTCCTAGCCTTTTTGAGAAAGTAAGGGTATTTTAGCCTTTTCACCCTTGCTTGGCATTCAAGATTCACCCTAGCAAGACCACACTTCACTTCCTACATTTGGCAAGAAACCTTAGTCACTCTACCTTCTCTCTAGAAAGGCTAGCTTTTTCTCCAAGCCAAGTAAAATCCACTTTCATCCTTGCAAAAGAACTCTCTAAGATTCCACCTTTCCACCATTAAAACACTAGGAAGGGTAAGATCTTAGTTTAGTTGGTGTTTTTGAGTAGCTTTACCTAGTCTTTATCTAAGTTGTATGTGGTTTTTCTTTGTATTCTTGGTTGTTGTTAAGGAATATATATTTGATATATAGAATCTCTATATATTAGGCAGTTTAGGATTTTAGGTAGGTAGGACATATGGAAACTTGTTTCCTATTCGTAGTTTTCTAGTACCTATTTATAGGGTTTTGTATTTTCTATTCCTATGTGAGTTTGATATAATATACGATAGCACATTAGAAACTCTCTCTCTTTACTTTCGTAACATGGTATCTAAGCCTTCACGATAAAGGGATTTTTTTTTCGCCCCGCTGCCGTCACCACCCACACAGAAAGGTTCGCCGGCGACCGTAGCTGCATATTTCAGCGCCGATCTGGGCAGCGCGTGAGGCTCACGCGCCGCTGCAACCAGCCGCCACGCGCCGACGCGTGCGGGCATTCCGGCCACCGGAAAATTTTTCCGTCGCATGTTCCTGGGTCGCCTGTGTCCCTTCTCCTCGGATCTGGACTTAGTTTGGACCATTTGGCTTCCGTGATTTTTGTTCTACGGTCAGGTTATTTCGTACCCCTTTAGGCTTCCTTTTTGTGTGTTTTCTGACCTGTTTGGGCTTAATTTTTGGTGGGTATGGCTGAGAATAAGTCTGTGGTTGTAACTGATATCGTTCCTGTGAATACTAAAATCACGAACGGTAAGCTTAATGACTCTAATTACTTGGAATGGATTAACGTCATTAAGCTTTATCTCATTAGTTTGGATAAGAGTGACCACCTATCCAAATCTTTGGCTAACCATGATGCTACTTGGGTACGTGATGATGCCTATTTGTTCTTGCAAATCCATAATTCTATTGATGATGGTATTGTTGGGTTCATTAGTCACTGTGCATCTGTTAAGGAGTTGATGGAGTATTTGGAATACTTGTACTCTGGGAAGGGGAATATCACTCGTGTTTGTGATGTTTGCAAATCTTTTTTCCGTGCCGAAAAATATGATTTGTCTCTCCCTGCATACTTTATGGAATTTAAGAAGACTTATGAGGCACTTAATAAGCTTATGCCATTCACTGATGACATTAAAGAGCAGCAAAACCAACGTGAACAATTGGCTGTTTTGAGTTTTATGGCAGGTCTCCCTCCTGAGTTTGACACGGCTAGGTCCGCAATTCTTAGTAGCTCTGCAATCCCTTCTCTTGCTGATGCTTTCCCACGTCTGAGTCGATTGGTGCAATCACAACTAAGTATGCATGAGGTGATGGTCCCACTGAACAGTGCTCTCGTTGGTCAACATTCGTACAATGGAACCGGTCGCGACTCTAGCGGTGTTGTGTGTAATTATTGCCATAAGCTTGGGCACATGAAGAAGGGTTGTAGGAAGCTCTTGAATAAGAACCGGGGAAACAATTCTATGTATGTTGCATCTACATTTGATTCGTCCGTCAAGATAGTTGGTCCTGATCCGTCTGCCAAGATGGTATCAATCTCAGCTGATGAGTTTGCTAAGCTTTCTCAATACCAAGAGTCTCTAAAATATTTGTCCGCTCCGGTCACTATGATTGCTACTGTTGCCTCAGCATCTTGTGACGAAGAGTGTTATTGGTGAAGGGCTTGCGTCTAGGGGTCTTTATGTTCTTGACTTATAGAAGGATGGAGTCTTGTTTTGTATTTTGGTATTGTCTCGTTTTCGTACTATCTAGTTTTATGTGTTTTGGTGCTGTCTTGTTTTGGTCCTATCTCGTTTTGATGCTGTTTATTTTGTTTTAGTCCTCTCTCCCCTTTCGTTTTGGTGTTGTCTCTCCTTTTTTATGCTCGTCATTTGGAGCATACTTCCCTTTTGTTAGTCAAGATACTTCCCCTTTGCTAGTAAAGACTTTGTGTCCTCCAGTTTGGAGTTTGTCTTCTTTACTTTGTGTGTTCAAGCTTGTTTGGTCCACTTTGTGTTCACTCGGAGTTGCAGTATTGGTGGCGTCCAAGCTTCTGGTTCAGGGGAGGGTTCAATCCCAAGCTTGTTCGGTCCACCACGTTGAGTTCACCCAACTGTTCGTAGGTATTGGTGGCGTTCACAGCTTTTGTTTCAGGGGGAGTATCCAATTTCAAGCTTGCTCGCTCACTTTGTGTTTATCCATTGTTCGTGGGATTCGTGGCGTTCGAAGCTTTCGTTGGAGGGGGAGTATGAGTATCAAATCTCAAGCTTGTTCGGTCAAAGGAGTGTCCTAAATGGACTTGAGTTATTTGTTATTTAGTTATTTTGGGTTATCACTCATTTGTGTAACAAGTTGGGCATTATTAAAATATATGCTCCAACTTGAGGAGGAGTGTTAAGGAATATATATTTGATATATAGAATCTCTATATATTAGGTAGTTTAGGGTTTTAGGTAGGTAGGACATATGGAAACTTGTTTCCTATTCGTAGTTTTCTAGTACCTATTTATAGGGCTTTGTATTTTCTATTCCTATATGAGTTTGATATAATATATGACAGCACATTAGAAACTCTCTCTCTTTACTTTCGTAACAGTTGTGTTGAGAATATTTGGTTGAGGATGAACTTCAAGGAGAAGTCTAGGGGCTAGAAAGAAAGTGTATCTTGGTCTACAAAGGTAACCCATGATTTACAAAACCTATTTTACATTTGCTATGATGATTCTTGACATTCTATTTGATGTTCTTGATGTTCTTGTGAGATTTGATACATAATCTTGTGTTTATCCATGTTAAGCTTGTATCTAGGGTTCTTAAATGCTATCTTTTGAGCTATTCATGTGTTCAAGTCATTTCCTTGTTGAATGTGAGGTTTTGGGTATTTTGGACTTGAACATGGTATTGTTGATGTTTTTCCCCGAAGGGAAATCTTCCCCTGGGTACGTGTACCCGCGGGCGGAACAATGGGTGGCTATCCTCCTGCCGTTCCACCCGCGGGTGGAAGGTGAAGGAGTGGCGGGTAGGGATGCGGGTGCTTGTCCACCCGTAGTTCCACCCTCTGGTACGTGATGCTTTGGCCTCCGTTTGATGAATTCTTGAGTACTTGTGTGTCTCCTTTGATGTTACGTACGTCTAGAACGGTGTCCTAAGTATCCATGATAGGATTACGAGTCTTGAATCGTGCTTATTGTCCAACCTTGTGATTCGTTGGATTTATGTGAAGTCGTTGAGGTTCGATTGAACCGTTATGTTTTCTCTTTTCGATGTGTATGCTAGTTCTAA